TTAAAAAACCTTTGAAGTCATTTTCGGCCTATCCCTGTACTCTCCACAAGGATGGCGAAGAAGTATATTGTCCATCTCTGTGGGGAAATACGAATCTGGCTCAAAATTCAATTAAGAGCTATCGTAAAATCAACCTTTGGAATATCACTATGAGTCACTCTTAACTTGATTTCGACACGGAAAATCAAAATATTTTGGGAACCGTAAAAGAGTATTATCCGCCTTCCTCCTTCTTAAAATACATTGTTGTTCCAGAAATCCGTCAGCCTTACTACCTAAATGAGCTCATTAGGGTTATAATTCTTATACGGATGTATGCATTGAAGTCTCTGTTATGTTATAGAAACGAACCGCATCTCGATATGCTTTTGTGTTTGCGAGTTATTCAAAAATTAAGACACTTAAAAAAAGTATTATTTATTTAGGACACTGGTACTTAAAGGGTTAATAGTTATGAATTTTACATGGATGTATGTATCGAAAGGTCTTCTATCTCATAGCCAAAATCGCTCTTCGATATCGTTTCGCGTTCGAGAGTTATTCAAAATTTAAGAAATTTCAAAAAAAGTGTTCCTTATTCGGAACCTTGGTACTTAAAGGATTAAGGTACGAATTCTAATTGATAGTTTTAAATGAAATCGATAAAGAATGTTATTCAGCTTGACATGCTATAGATTGTGTTGTTTTTATAACAGAAGTCAATCTAATATATGTATTGCATTGTGATCGCGATAAATCTTAATAATCAAGTTGATATTAGTCTTACAACATCTGGAAGTAAGTATACCATAACAAAAAAATTATTAGATAAAACGGAAAATGGAGCTATATTATAAATTGAATTAAGTCTTTTTTATTCTGTATTGAATAATCTCTTTTTTTTTGCTAGTAAAGGTTTTTGCGTCATCCATTATCAAGTGTTTTCTAAGTTGAACATGTTCAAATAAATGTTGATCGTGTTATGTGGACAAATGTTAAACGTATTGTATTGATTATCACAAATTAATATATTTGTTTCTTTTTTTTTGTGTTATCTCATTTTAATTTATTCTATTGTCCTTGTTTAGATACTAAAGACTAGAATCATCTAGTTCACCAGTAATTCGTTTTTTTTCTCTTTTGGTTGAGTATGAACCACTGTGGGATTTTTTTAAAGTGCCAACGGTTATTTTTTGAATAACTTTTCAACGATTCAAATTATAGAGGTCAGATTTTCACCATTAAAAAGAGCAAGGCGGAGGATGTCGATCTGTATAAAATTCATTAGGTTTATGAGTCTTTTGTATAGTTGTTTGCAGTCAAATATCTTATCGGTTGTCTATTTTCATGAGTTTTTATGACAAGCTAACATGTAATTAGACCAAAATGTAGCCCAAATCATTCTGTATTTGTGCTAAAATTTTCAAATCTTTACGTCTTATGCTTGAGTTTATTTCCGTACGTTTTGATGTTAAAATGTGACAATTTTAGCACAAATACAGAACGATTTGGGCTACATTTTGATCTAATTACATGTTAACTTGTCATAGAAACTTGTGAAAATAAACAACCGATAAGATATTTGACTGCAAATAACCATTTAAAAGACCCATAAGTCCAGTGAATTTTATACAGATCGACGTCCCCCGTCTTGCTCTCTCTAACGGTGGAAATTTAACCTCTATAACTTGAACCGTTGAAAAATTATTCAAAAAATAGTCGTTGGTACCTTAAAAAAGATCCGACATTAAGTATATGAAATAAATACTTGCAGAGAATTTTGGTTTGCTAGATGAGCTATTTTTTACCACTGTTTCTTGAATATATCCCGAAAACATCATGATATAGAGCTGGAAATGTTACTATAGTCTCTCCACTACAGCCTCAACATATCCTGAAAACGATACCGCTGGATTAGCTCGTAAATATGCCATTCCCTTAGAACTTACTTTCAATAGAATAGCAAGATAGTACATGAAACTCTGCGCATTTCTGTCTATTTAGTTTTTGCTTTGTTGAATGCAAAAAAAAAATTTTTGAAGACTAAATAGTTTTAGGAGGTCTATCAGTTCTGGGTATTTTCGATAATAACTATGATAACCATAATCATTTCTTTTGTAAACTCAATATGAAAACTAATAGTATAAATCGATGCTGTTTTTCATGATCTACAAAATGACATATGGATTAGTTTATACAGAATCAAACCGATACGATATCGTACTTATCTCACTCTAATTATACTAATTGATATGTCATTTTGTAGAGCATGAAAAACTACGTCGATCTGCACTATTAGTTTTCTTATTGAGTTTACAAAAGAAAAAACTATGGTTGCCATAGTTATTGTCGAAAACATCCAAAATTGATGGACCGTCTAAGACTATTTAGTCCTCGAAAATTTCTTTTTACATTCAGCAAAAAACAAAAAATAAATAGACAGATATGTGCAGAGTTTCATGCTCGATCTTGGTATTCTATTGAAAGTAAGATCTAAGGAGCGTGACTTATTTACGATCTTCATCAGCGATGTCCTTTCATAAATTTTGAATGTACCTGGTCTAAGATCGATTTTTGAAGGTTGAGAAGAGAAGTCTTAGAACGAAATTGAATTGACCAATCATGAAGAACTTTCATTATTTCAAAGTTGAAGTACTGTAGAAAACAAATTCAATCAATGAATCAAATATACCTTTTACATTTCTCGATATTTAACCAATACAATTATTTTTATTTATTATAAAAAAAAAGCAAGACAAAGTATTTTTTTTTCTTATCTACATCCACATTCTTGTACAATCATATCTCGATGATATTTAATAACAAGTTCATCTCGATCATAATAAAGTAAACATAATGGTTTTAATCGTACAGGTACACATAATGGTTGTTGTCCATATTCTTTTTGTGAATGTATAAGACTAAGTAAAATAGCATGATTTGACGGATAATATTGTGGTGATAATGGATTTGGACATGAACCTGAACATGTATATGCATTAAAACGTTTTGGTTGTAAGATCCATTGACCAAATGTAAATTGATTAAAATCAATTTCATATTCATGTTTAGCACATGTTAAACTTGGATTATTTGATAATATTGTACGTCGAAAACGTCGTTTGAAATTTTTCGTTGTTGAAAATGAAAATAAATTTTTATTTGATTTAGAATAATAAATAATTGATAAACTATGTTTTATAATTGGATATTCTAATAATAAATAAATATTACGTTGATAATAATTATTTAAAAATTTGGTAAGATCATATGACTGTATTGTATTTATTGATGTTGATATCATCTCTAAACGATATATTCGATGATGAATATTTTTTCCTAATCGAACATAAACATTTGATATATTACATCGTAATTCAATCAATGCTATTTGTTCATTAAGATTTCTTTTTAGTCGAATACTAAATAAAGTTCTATTATTTGGAACTAAAAACAAAACAAAAGAAAAAAAAAAATTTTCCTTTTAAATAAAAATCTTTTGTAATAAACAAACTTTTATATGAAACCATTCGAACAGTATTGATATATTTCAATTTTAATTGTGTATCTAAATCAAATGATGTTGCTTTTAAAAGTGATCCCGATGTATTAATCTTATTATAAAAATCAATTATTGTTTCAGTTTGATCTTCTAAAGCTAAGATAGCATGAAGAACCATTCCTATAATAATTGTAATATGGAACATTGTTGTTTTTCTTTTTTTTTTAGACAATATGAGAAAAATATAGTCATTGCATTTGTTTATATACATTCGAGTAGGATTAAGTTTCTCATTGGACCACATCGGTGTCGAGAAAAAAGATAACAATATATACATACATTTACTCATCTTTTTTTTTTCGTATATCTTGTTCATGCACGCGTTTATTGATAACGAGAAAGAAAAAGAGACCACATCGATTTGAATATAAAGATAAGATGAGAATGTTGAAAAACAAGTTTATTAAAAATGACAAGAAAATTCTTTTTTCTTTCTCACTGTTCAATTTATCTATTGACTTTAAAGTATTCAATGAGATTGATTTTTCTAACCTTGAAATATAGACTAGAGTCTTTCGTATTGATAGAAAAATTCTAGAATGAGAAAAAGGCTTTTGACTGATTGGAGAATAAAATAAGAAATTTGAAAGAATAGACCCAAAATTATTGATTGGATGAATTATTTCTGTTCTCACTGAAAAAAAAAAGAAACAAAATATTTATCTTTCATTTATTTTTTATAAGGCTTTGCCCATATCTAAATTTTCAACAGTACCTCATTTTTATACAATATTCTTAGAGAAAAATTTTTTCAAAAAAGTTTGCCAGAAGGACTGAGCTTCTTCTAGCCCCAAAGCTTGGCTTCATCACTAGAAATAATTCTCTAAAAAGCAGCAAAGTTTTTGCAAACTGTTGGAGTGAGTGTATTAAACGCTTTTATAAAGTCTATCACAAGAAAAATGGTTATTTTTCTGATTTTTGCCTTTTCAGCACAAAATGATCCACCATCACAACTCTGACATTAGTATAATATGTACGATTCTCTTTTTTTCTGCCATAGGAACAAAGTTCATTCATGGAAAAGAAGTGTGAGGACAAGCCATACACTTCATATTTAAATAGAGCAATATTATATGTATATATATATTCTATTTTCTTCCTTTACTTCATGATTTATTTTCTGCGTATATGAAATTTCTGTTTCTTGCTCTACAATCAATGTCTAATAATTATTCATACAAAGTTCATTTTTAAGCAGTTTCAGTTCGAAGAAAACGATTTTGTCAATACGTATGACATCAACATCGTATAAAAACCAAAAAAGAAAATCAAAATCGTCAAATGTCGTAAAAATGAAAATGATGACATCATTTCTTACTTCATCAAAAAATTTTCGCATTGTCGCCAAAGCAGGATTGACTCATGTATCTATCAACAATGACTCATTTTCTTCTTCGATATACGATAACAAAAAAACTCATAATTTTATCATTTAACATTAAAAGTAAAAACTAAATAGATGGCTACTTCTTCTGAAGATTTATCTATACAATGTATGCATGGTAAAGCTGGTAATAGTAATTGGAAATTACCACGTCTTATAGCAACATGTGACAAAAAAGCACGACCAGATGTTTATGGTGAAATCGATGCTAGTGAATATTTAGATAATGATAATGTACTTGATGCCAAACTTGATATAGTTGTATCATTAATTCGACAAAGTCAACAATTTGTTGTTTATACTGGTGCTGGTATATCAACATCAGCTGGTATCGGTGATTATGCATCAAAAGCATCGAATTCTATAGTTATGCGTGAAACAAGTGTTAATCGTTTAAAAGCTATACCAACATTATCTCATCATGTACTTGTGGCACTTGAAAAGAAAAATCGTCTTAAACATTGGGTACAACAAAATCATGATGGTCTTGCACAACGTGCTGGATATCCACAAGAAAAATTAAATGAAATTCATGGTTCATGGTTTGATAAAAAGAATCCTGTTGTTTTAATGGATGATAACCTTAAATCTGATTTACATAAATGGTTAAAAGAATGGGCAGAAAAATCTGATCTCGTACTTGCTATGGGATCATCAATGTCTGGTATGGCAGCAGATGTGATAGCTTCAAGAGTAGCTGAAAGAGAAGGAACACTTGGTTTAATTATTATTAATTTACAAAAAACACCACATGATCATCTTGCAACAATAAGAATTTTTGCACCATGTGATAAAGCTATGTCTTTATTAGCGAGTAAAATGAAATTGAAAATTCCTAAAAATAAGTAAAAATAATATGCGAATATTATTTTATAGATTACTCGTTTGAAATTGATTAGAAAGGTTATGACACTTATTTTTTTTTCCAATTATTAGATTGATGTTTCGTTTTGGCATGGACAAGCATAAATGTCCAATAGTGTGATTTAAATAAACGAAAGTACTTTGATTATCTGTTTGTTATTAATAAATTAGAAGAAAACATTCATGATTAGTGACAAACTAATTCTACAAATACTATTCACAGTTGTTTATAATTTCTTGTGTTTTAGTGATTTAAAATGACTCTATACCTGTTGATATTATTTGAAAAATATTTGTTAATCGTTAGCTTTGATAAAATTTATGAGTTCATTCCTATCTATACAGATGAACAAGGAAAAAATAAGCTAATCTAATAATTGAAAATCGATCTGTTTGTTAAATTTTAATCAGAAAATTATTAATTAGCAGTAGCAATGAACATATAATCTATTTATTGAAATATGAAGTCTATGTTTCGAGTCATTATTAAGATATTTTTGTTTGATTTCGTGTATATCTCTAAAATTAGATGCGTTTGAATAATCTGATTTTCGTCAGATTACAGTTCATAGTCTCTCGTATACTAGTAAAAAAAACTTCAAGTCAAGCAATTAATCCGTTTACTTTTTATTGACAATACAATTGCAGCATGCTGTTGTCAAAATTATTCAATTATTTTTGTTTGAAAACCATTGTACGCCAATCCTAGATTGAAATTTCCTTTATAATGCATAATTCAATAGGGGCAAATTATGCTCTATGTAAAGAGTACATTTTATCGTAGTTATCCTTTGAGTAAAGTTTAAAAACCAATGTTTGTTTTTTTTACCTATACCGGAAATTTTCAACAAAAAAAAGGCGACAAGAGACATTTTTTCATATGATGTTTGACCAGTTTTATTGTTCAGTATATCAATAGCAAGAGTACTACAGATTGCATAAGATATTCTATTTGAATAAATATTTCACATTGGAAAACTGTGTGGATCAACTCCTATGTATCCATCAATTATAGGATAGACCTTCTTTTACGATCCCATTCAGATCATAAAGTTTGTTCTCAAAAATGAAAAGTTCACGATGATACCTATTATATACAAAGAATAGAATTAAGTAGTATGTTCAATTTCTAAGAAACTGATATGAACAAACTTTTGCTACGAATATTTGAAACATCGCACGACAAAATAAATAGAATTGAAGACTATAGAATATAAAAAGCCATGACTAAATAGTAAATTGTGAATATTAATTGATCATGAATGCTGATTGAAAAATATTTGTACTTTGAATACAGTTATAATTTACATAGAGGCGTGTTCAATCATTGGATGCCCCAATTTGCTTTCTTTCTGTTATCATCTAAAAAGTCTAACTATATTCGGGCAAAATGATCACCTTCATCGCTTTTAAGGCACTGAATAATTTCATATAAGACAGCCATCTGCAGCTAATATTTTAAATTAAGTAGTTTAGCGATGAGGGTGATAATTTGACCCGAATACGACTAGGCTTTTAAAATGATAAAATAAAGAAAACAAATTGAGGCATTTTATTGGACACGCCCATAGATAATGTAACAAGGCGTTTCGTATTTTAATTTATTATGTAGTAAATGTAACAATAAAACGTATATTTTCTATTTAGTTTTTGTAAAGTTTAGCAGTACGTTGAACATAGTGAACTAAATTAGTATATGTTGGTGCAGGTGATAATATTCGGAAGATGATTCAAGTGTTAATTATTATACTGATGATACTTGATAAGACCGAAAATTTCATAGAAATACAAGAATAATTTCATATTTAAATGAACGATATGTGTTTTTTATTGTTACATTTACTTTATTTTAAATTTAATATAATTGATTGATAGACGAAAAAGAATACAGGGTAGGCGAAAAAACTCACTTCCTCCTTCGTTATGAAATGTACTTGGTTTTTTAATCAATTTATTTTGCAATAGATAGAGCTGAAAAAAACGCTTTTAAACAAAACCGTTATTTGTTGTTGGAGCACATTTTATCGTAAGTGGAGACAATGTAGAAATTCATTGTATGTGAAATTCATTTTGGAACGAAATTGTATTTGCTAGATTTCGATCTTTTAGAAAACTTTAAGAATTCATTAACGAAACAGTATAATGATCTGAAATTGTCAGGCTATGTTTCACGAAGTTCACAAGTTAAATATACATATAAAGCATTTTGGACTCGAGCTAAGTTTCTACTATTATTAAAAGTATCCATACAATAGTAATATTTCGTTGTTTTTTGCATTGCTAGTGAATGTATTAAGCTTATGATGCCTTGTTACCAGTATGTCATAGAAACCTTTGCATATTTTACAAGCTTTTAACACTTGACTGCATTACGTTTCTAAATATTGAATCTACTAACTCGTTGAAAAATTTTTCATAGCATGTACTAGAAACTGACCAAGTATCTGGTAAGTACTCACGTACTGAGATCATTCCCAGAGGGATATCCAAACAAGATAATGTGACATACTGGTAACAGGGCACCCAAAAAGGTATCCTGCTAACAATTGACCCAGTATACAGGCGCCTTGAAGTCAGCATATTCACTAGAGACAAAGTGTGTATTCTACAAATTTCGTTAATTCATTATTTTGGAAACTTCAGAAGCCTGAAAATGCTAGTCATACTAGTCCAGAAAACTCAGAACTCTTTTTTGCAATAAAGCATGATTTACCTATTTTTACTACATAGTTTTGAGATTTCATATGCGCTTTACGGGGAAGAAGAAAAAATCGTGTAACCGTGGCATATAGTAGGAGTAATTGTTCTCTATCTCGTTGTGTGTTCATTCTGTGTTCAAAGTAATGTCTCGGAAAAAAATCACCGATATTCTTGAAGAACATATTTTGGGTTTCTTGCAGTGAAAATACTCCCAACCACAAATAGTTAAAATTTTAAAACATAATCCAATCAGTATATCTAAAAAAACTGTATCTCATGTTAAACGTAAGATTGGCCGTTGATTCGAAAAAAACTAAAAATTAATAAATTAACGCCATCGAACCCCGATAAATGTCACCAACGTGCACATCGACTTTATCGACATTTAGCTAATAGTCGCTACAAAAATTTTATCACGACCGACGGATCTTGGTTGTATCTTGACAGCATCGAAGAAAAAAGAAAAGTTTGTTAAATAACAAAGACTAATCCGAACTATGAAAAAATGATAATTTAATAAGATTCATTTCGTCAACAAGGATTTATAGTATGGACTGGTATTTGATCTCGTGACAAGACGTCTCTTGATTTTGTTAAACCTAGTGCCAAAATTAATTCAAATTATTACATCGACAAAATTTTGAAAACATTTTTTATCATATGATGTTTCTCGTTTGTTTTCAAACAATGAAACAACAAAAATAATTTATCATCAAGACAATACTCTCAGTCACACTTCAAAACAAAAAAGAATTGCTTTTTTAAATGAATTAAAAATTAAATATGCTAATTCCGAGAAATGAATGTTCAACTCACTAGATGTAACTTCCATGGATTATTCTGTTCGGAAGTATTTGAAATAACGGCTGTACAAACAGAAATTTTAGCGTACTGATCGAAATGAGTATTCCTTACTCTTAAAGCTCGTAGCATGCATATAGAACATCGTTTTAAATCATAACATTTTTCTTTCGTCTATAATAATAGAAGACGAACTAGTAAAAATAAGCGAATCATGCTTTATTGCAAAAAAAAAAGAGTTCTGTGTTTTTTCGACAACACTGTATGCTATTGATCATATTAATATGTATATTTCAGTTAAGTATGTTTAATATGAAAGAAAAGAAGTTTTCAATAATTCGTAGACGACATTTTCTTTTATGATATATATAAAAGGAATAATGGAAAACATCTAAGCAAAAACGAAATAATCATCTTCTCTTTTTGTCTATGACGCATCATTGTCAACAATAAAACGAAAGATATTCTTGAATTGTGTATTTTTCATACGAAAGAAATATATATATATACATTTATCTATAATCGTCATAAACGATAATTGTTCACGCTTGAGTGTGTAGCATGTGAGACAAAAAAGAGAACGATCACAAAAAAAGGAAGGAAGAAATGAAAAAAAATATACTGATGACAAAAAAAAATCAACCAACCAATACTTATGTAAAACATGTTGTCACCATGCTATACTCATGTTCTTTTAATAATTTCGTGTATAATATTTTTTTTTTCGGCTATTTCTTTTATCAAACGTATTCAAATTCATTCAAATTTAACTCAACCGACTCAAATCTTATCTGTTTATGATAATCATCATTCTCAAAATCAATTTTCTTCATACACCACAATTATCAATAAAAATCATTTAAATACTTCAGATGAACAAATCAATGAAAGATTTCTTAATAAAAAAGTTCTTGCATTGAATAAAACATATAATTCAATATTAGATCGTTTAACATTTATTAATCCACCAAAATCAATATGTATTTATCCAAAGCATACACAAAATTTCATAGTTTTTATTGTTCTTTCACGTGCACTTAATTTTGATTTTCGTCAAGCAATTCGTGCTACATGGGGCCGTAATGGAAAATATAAACAATATAATATTCATGTACAAACTATATTTTTTGTTGGAACTGACGATAGTGTTCAATCAGCTATACGACTTGAACAATCATTATTTAATGATGTTGTTGAAGTTGGTAAGTCGAATAAAAATTTAATCATTTAGAAATCTCATCTTTGATTGTCTGAATATGTGTACGACAATGCTGACTTTTCTTTTTTTTTTCAAACGAATCTTCTCAAGTTTTTGTTTTTTATTTTTTATTGACTAGTTATACCAGAAAATTATCCATTTGTCGCTCATAAAGAATTAGCATCTTTATTCTGGACTCGTCTTTATTGTCCATTAGCTCGTCTTATATTTCGTGCTGATGATGACATCTTATTGGATACATTTTTATTATTAGATTATATAAAAAATCATTTAAATATTAATACTCAAGATGGTTTACATGGATGGTTTCGTTTTAATAATACAGTTCATCGTGCAGATAAATGGGCTATAACAAAAATTGAATATAAACCAAAAATATATCCTCCATATACATTTGGTATAGGTTATTTATTTTCAAATGTTTCATGTCAACGTTTAGTTAATGCAGCCAATCGTCCAAAACATCAAGTAATACGTGTGGGTGATGCATATATAACTGGTATTTTACGTGATTTAGCACGAATACCATATTATGATTTTCAAAATCTTGAATATGCTTATACATTTTATAATCCAATATCATGTGATATATTTTTTGAGGATAAACCTCAGTTATTATTATGTATGTCAAAATTACATGTTGGAATACGTGATGATCCATTTGAATTCTATGATGTTTGGAATATTATTTTAACTAAACATCATACATCATTATCAAATGCAACTTGATTAGATTATTTATGATTGTTTTATTCAGTCTGCTGTATTTTATATCAACGAAATAAAAAAATATCCAACTTGAGATATGATCGAAAAGTTATTGAATGAAAAAATCTTTGTT